GAGCTGGGCAGTCGGGGGGGTGTCTGTGGGGCGGAGTGTATTTTTTCCTTACTGGTAGGCGTTACCCAGGGGCTTGGGACAGTTTTCGGCTCCTGTAACTTTGGGTGAGGTTGGAGTAATGGGGAAGATAGTTTTGCCATACTCGAAACTGGTTTCTAAGAGACCCTTTTCACTTTGAAGCAATATTTTGTTTGATCCCAGGTGCTGTGGTAGAGACCTCATGACATGGGTTTGTTGAAGGCATTTTAGGTGTAAGCTAACCTTTGTTTAATAATCGTATGAGACATTTCCTATTTGTCAAGTTGGTCCATAAAACCTAAAAAGTTATGGGTTTGGTTTAGGGTAACTTTTTTTGTGTGAGAGCATGGTTGAGATATTTAGATGCAAGAATGGAAAGAACGAGCTTTATCACTGAGGCTTTAAACACCCAGAATCTGGAAGATTTAGGCATCTACCCCTATTCAGGTCCTCAGCCTGATCCAAACATGACACACAGGTTGTGGATCTGAATTCCTCCTAGGTGAGGGTTGTGAGAAGCATTTTAGAGATGGACCATAAGGATACAGAAGGGCTTATACGATGTGAATATATATTGTTGACCTTCCTTAATTTTTGGCTACCAGAATTGAAGGATAGATGGAGGTTACTGAACATGTGGACTGTTTCTAAGAAATTGGGAGATTGAAGAAGTTGGATCACAGTCAAACTGAGAAATCAGAAAGAGGGAAGATGGCAAGTATATGGCAAGGAAGGAAGGATAAAGAAGCTGGGTCTCTTCTGTTGCTTTTAAAGAACAGTTATATTTGGTTCTTCATTTTTCTGAATCAAATGAAACATGTGATGAATTTCTGTGGATATGATTTTTGGTGTGCCTATTCAGGTACATTCAACCTTCAACCGCCTGAGAACGTGTTTTGACTCTTTGCAGCTGTCTTGGATAATGAGAGATTAACAGCAGAGGAAATGGATGAAAGACGACGCCAGAATGTAGCCTATGAATACCTTTGTCATCTGGAGGAAGCGAAGAGGTAAGAATAAGTGGTTTTGAAACTGCTGGTGCTTTAAAAGAAGTGACATTTGCTAAGGGGAATAAATTGTTGGTAGGACAAGCTTACTTCTTGTCTGTGTTTCTTAGCAGCTATATAGATTAATTTAAGATAAAACCCAAACCAGCTTACCCCTGATGTGCTTATCTAACATGTTCTTAAAGACTTCTTGTGACAAGGATGGTGTAGCTCTAGTACTCCTAGCACTGGATGGGTTCTCCCTGTTATCGAACTTTTTGGTGTCTTGGTACCATTTTACCTTGCTACTTATCAATGGATGTGAAGAACAGGTTATTCTCTTCCTCCTAACTGCAGCCTTTTACAATTTTAAATTGTAACACTGTGTTTCCCTTGCACTTACCTTCTCTAAGACTGAAAAACCAGTTCTTGCATATTTCTGTGGGTCCTGTTTGATAGATCTGCAGTACTTTTCCCTGGATTGTTCTGACTTCGCTCGCTCCGTGTCCCTCTGGAAGTGCCCTGACAAAACAGAGAAAAGTTTTCCAACAGGGTTGTTAATGTACATATTTGTAAGTGCACAAGGATTATTTTGTGTACCCTGATAAATATGTTAGTATCCTACATTATGGCATGGTATCTACATTTTCATAGTGTAGTAGAGTTTTGCTGAGTTGCCAACCTTTTCCTTGAAGGTGTGCTGCTGAAACCTGTTTCTCACTCTGTGTTTATACAGTCTGTCATGTTTTCCTCAGTGTGTTACCTCTCACTTGATCCTGCTGAGTTGTATTTTTTTCTGGTCTTTGTTTAATATGTTGAAATAATTTTGATCTTACTTCTGTCCTGCAGCGTGTGCATAGCTTTTGTGTCATCCCCATGTTTGATAAGCATGTAAGCATGCTGTATTTCTTCATTCAGACAGTAAATGAAAGTATGCTCAAAACACAGCAGATGCTACTTTTCTGCTCTTAACAGAAAAAGAAACAATATTAAAAATTAATCAATGAAGTCGCACTGTTGGTATTTCAAAAATATTTTTTAAAACATTCAATCCCTTATGCCGTATGTGGAGAATAGGAATGAGACAGAACAGTTTGTCTGGTGCTTCCCTTCCTGACAGTTAGGTCTTTCTATGCCGTTGTATAAATTGAGTTTTTTACTTGAAATTTAAAAGGTTTTTTGAAGCTGAGATTGAGACAAGTTTTCAAGAACAAGATTAAAGAGAAAGAGGTGAGATCATGTTTGTATTGGTGACTCCTCCTGCCCCCAACACTTTTTAAAGTAAGGCTAATGTTTCGGTTTACATTTTGTAATTATTCACAAGATGGATTGTGAGCTTAGACTTTTCTGGTTCCCACAAAGATCTAGGCAAACCAGACAATGTGTCTGCCATAGAAAATGACTTGTGAAGCAGCAGCAATAAAAGCTTGTTCCGCAATAAAAGCATGTTCTAAATAGTCAACAGCATGTTTTTTTTGGGATCACTGCATACTTCAGTTTGCTTTTGTCCTCCAAAAGATGGTATGGGTTAAAAGCCAGAAACTGTCCACTGGCTGGGTGATGAATTTTGGGTAAATCTATGAAAGTATTTCACAGCAAGACAGACCTGTTCTGCTGTAGTGATTTTGTTGGGGAGGAAGTGCTGAGTTTGTACGAGTTCACTGCTGGTAGTGTATAAAGAAGAGTTAATTCCAGGATTTTAGTAGTTTACACTGCCTTACCAAGAATGTATAGCATGTTTTTGCAGGGGCAAGGAGCACTCAGTTTATGCTGTAGTTTTTTAGGTGTTTCATTAACAATTGTCACTAGTATAGATTCACAGAGGCTGCTTATTTACTAGCAGATGATAATTCTATGTCCATACAGGTTTGGATGAAGTTTGTAGTGAGAAAGATCAGACTAAAGGCCATAATAACAAATTCTGTTTGCTTCTAAAGATTTTGGAATCAAATTCTGCGTGACAGGGAGAGATGAGTTGTGTCATAGTCACTGTCCATGCTTGAAGGCACCTCAGGTGCATCAATGTGAACTCTGTCATTGGCCTCAGAGTAAATTCTGAGGTCCTTGTTCTCTGTTCAATTCCATGTCCAGATTTGAAGAAAAAAAAAAAAAATTTTCACACAAAAATACCTAACACAGCAACAGCTTTAATATTTTCATGAAGTTCTTGCTTAATCCTGGGGACTTACTCTTTAGGTAAAACCACCTGTGGCTCTGAAGTTTCTTGGCCATCTTATCTCGACTTCTGAGTATCGCCTTGGTGTGGATGAGGTTGAACAGCTCGGCATTTGGTTTTGCCACACCTTGTCAGAAACAAGATGCTTTCATTGTTTTGTCTCAGAACGAGCCTCCAGATGTTTGAAATAACGTGTTGTGTTTGCCAGTATGTTTTGTGAATAATGAGGCAACGGCTGTGTTGCTCAAAATGCAAGTAGTGGTGTTACAGCCTTCCTAGTATCCACTTTGGCAGTCTGAGCACTTGTTAAGCAGAAGGTCTTGGAGGAAGTGCTTGGAGAGCTTCAAATGGTCCTTTTTCAACTTTGAACCCATGTTTGCTTAGTGGCCTACAGGCTGTTCTTACAGATGTGATTGGGAGGTTCTCCTCCCCCTCTGCCCTGGTGAGACCATACCTGGAGTATTGTGTCCAGTTCTGGGCTCAGCAGCCCAAGAGAGACGGGGGACTGCTGGAGGGAGTCCAGCAGAGGGACACAAAAATGATTAGGGGACTGGAACTGTAGAGGAAAGGCTGGGAGGCCTGGGGCTGTTTAGCCTGGAAAAGAGAAGACTGAGAGGGGATCTTATAAATAAAGGTTGGGCATCAAGAGGATGGGGCCAGTCTCTTTTCAGTGGTGCCTGGTGATAGGACAAGGGCAACAGGCACAAACTAGAACACAGGAAGTTCCATGTAAATGTGTAGAAAAACTTTTGTTCTGTGAAGGTTCTGGAGCCTTGGGCCAGGCTGTCCAGACAGGTTGTGGAGTCTCCTTCTCTGGAGATTTTCAAAACCCACCTGACTTCTGTTCTGGGCACCTGCTCTAGGTGGACCTGCTTTGGCAGGGGTGTTGGGCTTAGGTGATCTCCAGAGGTCACTTCCAACACCTACAACTCTGTAATTCTATGCATTCCTAACTCCTGTAGCTGAAGGCATACCACTTTGCCTAAGAGTAAAGATTAAATGACCAGAAGGAGGGGGCAGACTCCTTTGTTTAATAATTAAGATACACAGGAACAGAAAGGTTTGAGTTCATGGTCTACTTCTAGGATTTTTTTTCCCTTGCTGAGCAGTCTTTTTGTAAATTGTCCTTTGAATGTGTGTGGTGCGTGTTTTGTTTTTTTTTTTTATTATTACTAGCACAGCCTAAAAGAGGACTCTTGGCTTCATTGTTGGAAAGGAGTTTATTTAGCAAAAACTACTAAACCAGAACTGTACAAGATCATTATATTTGAAATTTAAGAGTTTTTTTGCCTTCTGCGTGGGTAGCGTGGATCGGCTCCTGTAGCATCTTGCTTGTGCTGTTGATGACAGTGCCTCAGAACCATGGGCACGGGTAATAGGGTTTATAATCTTTCTTCACAGTGAGAGTTTTTTTCAGATTGGAAGTTATATCTATAAGGAGAAGAGGACAACTTCATAGCAGAGGAGTGTATCTGGGGTGCTGTGTCACACGGACACTGAAAAGGTGGACATTGTAAAGTTGATGGCAGCTGAGGCAGGTGGCAGGCAGCTGAAGGACAATTCTTAACAGTCCTCTTCCTCTCCCTGTAATCATTATCGTATTACATTATAGTATTGCATTCAGACACTGTCATTTATATTCAGCTGTTCTATAACATAAAGGCACCTAAAAGGATGTGAATAATACCATGCTGATTTGCATTGCATTAGCATTGTCGAGAGACTTGCTACCCCTGAAACCAAGCATCAAATACAGAATCTAGAGGTGATTTCCCCCCCCCACCTTTTTCTTTTAAATCTTGAAAGAAGAAGGTATGATGAAAATTGGCTAGCACCTAATTTCATACTGAATGAAAAACTCAGAAAAGTTTGGGTTTCTCAGCTGTCTGTTGGAACAGCACGCGTGCGGTAGCTTTGAGCATTTTGTGAGGTTGTTTGGAGTACCTCTCTGATAAGGAGCATAGGCATTACCAGAGTAATACTTTGGAATATTTTAGGTTCTCCAAGTTGGAATCTAGAATATTCTTTGCTCTCTTGTTTCCTTGTGTGGCTTGCTGGGTGATGGTACTGTGCTTTGCTGCTGGGACAGGAGGGAATATTTTTGTTCTGGGTTATGCCCTAGTGTAGTACAAGCATTTTAGTGTCCAGACTGTGTGTCTTCCAATAACTGTAACTTCCATTTTGCCTGAGCAGTGTGTTTCTTCTAGTATGCATCAGGATGGAATTTGACTATGTGGGTGGTTTTCTCCTTGTTTTGGGTTTCTTGAAGATGCCACTTGCTCTTTGTTGTTGATCTAAGCTGTTAAGGATTGAAGTGTACTGTCTGTACTGACAGATTGGAACATGGCTTAGTGTAAACTCATGATACTTTTGAGAGAAATTAATAGTTTGTACCTGTGTGGTGAAGTCTGAAGGGTCTTTTCCATTGATTGCTTTTCTGTAAGAATTACTTTCCTGTCTCCCTCACACATACTCTCTTTAGAGTGGGGAGCAGGGTTTTTTTTTTGACTGGTATGACTTGTCTTTGTCTTTAAGCAAATAAGAAAACTAAATTGTTTGCCAGGTGACCCAGTTAAATTTTGTTTCCTAGAAGAAATACAGTGTTTAAAGAAAAGATCTTCATCTTTTTGAGTTTCCCACTTTTAGTTTGAAAGTGTTTGGATGGATGTCGTTGTCTCTTGAATTTTGGCATTGTCGTCCAAGATCTGCTTAAGGAGATTTCTTTAACTTTAGAGGTGTAGGGTGCCCAAAAGAATGAAGAGGAAGAATTACAGAGGACACCACTTTCTGGACAGAATGGATGTGTCTAGAGTTGGTGCTAGCTGGGAAGCTTTATAAAGCTTATTCT